TCTACACTTTCAATTGTGTTCTATTTAACGGTTTAATTGTTCAAAATATAACTACTGTGTGATACTTGGATATTGCACGAATATCTGTCATGAAAAATATCAGCATTTTGTTTTATTTCTTGTGATAAGAATAAATTTTATTAACTTTTCATCAGACTTGTGCATTCAATCTATTACGAACCCGTAAGCAGGCAACAATGTACATATACATAAATTTCTAATTTTGAAAATGTAAAATTTCTCATTTTGGCTTAATGACTGAAATATGTGCAAATATTCTAAATAACTTAATATAGCATATAATTTGTTTTTATTCTATAAGTAGTAACTTGAGTGATATGTCTTAATTATTCCCGAAGCTATTTATCAAATTTCGTAAATCGCAACGAAGAGTTTTACATGTACTCCCCGTGCATTTAAAACTTCCTCATCAGATATATAAGACCTTTATTGGATCTTGGCTTACACTTCATTAAATGTAAAATAATATATTTTCTAAACAGATGTTTTGCTACAATAAAAAAACGTTTTAGAGTGATTGAGTGAAAAGGCTAAATGTATTTTATATGCAATTGGTAAATTAAATATAAGTTAACTACTGTAAGGATAACTACTCTGTTGTGAAAGATTACAGAGTGTAGTCAAATATCCAACTGCAATACTTTCTCATTCGAGAATGAAAGTTTCAATATGAGCGTAAGATATGATTTTTGAAAATTTAATAAGTCAAATAATTTCGGCTGATACTTTTGCACAGCAGTACATTAGAGACAAATTATGTTAAAATGCGTTATTAAGCTAGACTATATTTTCATAATTTATATTTTTAAAGCTTTGCACTAATTTCAAGTTTCTAAAATATTTAGTTTAATTAATTCATAATACTATGATTTCAACTTTATAGTCAAGTTTACATTAGCTTTCACCAGGATGCAGGTGAGATGAGTGTATATAAAAACGTAATTCTTGAGAGTTAGGCAGAGATTTGCATGGTATAGGTACAGGTAAAAGTTGATGGGACGTCAGATTGCACCAGAGAGTTTTGGCAGGTACGGTCGGATTGAAGTATCGTGGACATCCAGTCTTTAATCACTGGTAGTGTGGGTACAGTTCTACTGCAATAACTGTTTTGACCGAAGCATCGAAATGCCCCATCTAACGAGTGCCTTGAAAAATGTTTGCAGTTGATGCTTTACAAATAACTTAGAGTATTTGCCACACTGAAACAATGATATTTGCTTTACCCTTTCTGTTACTTATGGTATCGACATTAACCTTTTTGTTAGACAAATCACTCGTGCTGTGAGTTAGAATTGAGCAAACCTTTGTGAGAATTTTGCACTGTGAATTTCTGTTTAATTTTAAATAACAATTTTTATGTTACATTTAGAACCTACAAGCAAGGTAGAGTATTTACAAACAGAAATCGTTGTTAACGTTGAAAAAATAAAAAGGTTCGTTTAAATATTTTATTGCTCTGAAATTGGACTTAATAAGTCTCCTGAGAGTCTCAGTACGGTACAAGTTAAACCAATTAAGTTGTAGTACCTTATAGGCTTTTTTAATGCACTTTATTTACCCGGTAAAATTTCGGTAATATACCCCGTATGTAGTTTTTCAATGTCAGATTTTCATGCCTGTCAGATTACATATACGTCATATCATATTATCAGAAGTATATAGATCAAGCTTAAAAATGAATTCAAACTATAAATGAAAAACAATTAAAGAACACAGATAATTTTATAACTGAACTGAATGGTAGAGAAAAACTGCTTTATGAGAGTCTAATGGTTTTGAATGTCATGCTTGTTATATCTCCAGATTGATTGGGGTTATCACGTTTGTCAAATCATGGTATGCCGGATTTCCAGTTGCAAAATACCCAATAGCTGTCAAGGCATATTATACATATGCGTTACATGAAGGCCCAAAATTTCGTAATTCTCGCCCTACTATTTTATAATTTATATATTTTACAGTCATATATATATATTATTGCCATATAGTACATATTAAAACAGAAATTTTATGGCCGTCAAATACAATATAATACTCTACATTTAATCACATGGTGTTCTTATTATACTTTAGTTTTGTTTTAGAATTGTTTGGCATAATATATAGAATATAGCAGGAGTTATGAAATTCCAAACAGCTGTCTCTTTCATATTCTGTCCAAACAAGAAACAATCAGTCAATGGGACAATGTAACGAATGAAATCAATTTATAGAATTCTCACATTGTTTGGTGAAAAAATTGCCTGCACGTTGAAGGGAATAATTGAAACTATATGAATTTGACAATAACCTCAAAGCATAGGTTGCAAATAAGATGTTTCATTCTTAGTATTATTCATTCACATTAAAATATTTGCCATTTGTAAAGTGTTCTTTAGCTTAGTTTAATGGTAACAGGAATGTCATGAAGGATGATACATTAGTTAACAAGATATGGCGATGGTACCCCATATGGTACCCGATAATATTCTGATGAATTATTAGTTATGTGATATTAATCTGAGTCCGCAATTCATCTTCATTTCGAAGGCGTCAGATAGAGACATTCATTAGACAGTCAGTAATATCCCACTGTATCTGAAATGGAAATAATTGTGCGGAAATTATTTGGCCAAAGAAAGTGAGATAACTTGACAATTTTAATACCGGCTTTTACTTTCCTTTTAGGGCTTCGTTTCAGTTATATATCGAAACAAGTATTATGCGTATATTATATATGGTTATATATATTATATATTATTATATATTGACAATCGTATGTTCATAATTTATAGCACAAATTATTCATATTTAGATGAGTAAATTAAGCATATAAATTTTAAGACTGTGCACTAAGAGAAAATTTTGAGTTTTAACGCTGTTTAACAGGAAAATAATTATCAAAAACGTATTATAAAATGTTATGCATATTAAAACACGCATCTTGTAATTTAGCATTTATTATTTTTTCTCAAGGTCTTAAGCAATTTGATGACAATTATTTAACACTGGCATTTGGAAACATATGTGATGTTAGTAAAACATTTCAGGCGATGAAAAATCTAATTATTAAAAATAAAATGTAAATTTGAAATATTATATTTTAATAAGTATATAAAGAACAGCCTTTTAAAATCTAGCGCAACAACTACAGCTGAAATTTTATGTATCAGAAAACAAAAGTTAAGTATCACTGTTTAACTGAATTTCTTCTCATGGCGCTTAAGTAGTTCTACATTGGAAAAATAACAAAAGTACTATAAACTCTCTCCTGAGCAAGACATGGCTTTTATCAATTCCTATCTTACTATTTAGGCAGTATAAACATTTAAAATTATCAATTAGGTACTGTTTTAGAGAGTGTATTAGACAGAAATATTATAATAAATAAGAAGCACATTGTTTTAATGCATTTCGTTTGTTGCAATTTTTTAGTTTGGAAGATATGTTAAAGGTTTTCTGCCGTAGGATTAGCCACTATTTTTTAAATTGACAGCTTTGAAGCATGCCTGAATAGTAACTATGAAATTCATCGTGGTGACAGATATACGCAAGCACAAACTTGAATGTCCCAGAAGCATAAAATAGTAGCAAAGTAGTAACGAAGAGAATGTATTAAGCTGTGCACATAAACTGTTATTTGTATTAAAATATTAAATTTAACCTTTAGAAAACCAAAGCCTTCGCTAACTTGTATGCTTAATATACCGAGGAGCTCAAAATTCTTTTCGGGATTGGCAGCAATTTCCACCTTTCACCGTTCATTAACGCCCAAAGAGGTGTAACGATTTCAAATGGTAACCTTTCTAGGTCCTAACAAAGAAGTTTTAATTAGCCTTTAAAGAAAAGCTGTCTGCAATAAACTTACACAATACATTTTGGAAAATTGCATCTGCTACTGTATACCTTAGTGAGAGGGAAGAAAACAATATAGCAATCTTGGCCGTTTTGGGCTGTTGTGGTCGTTTGAATGAAAGGCCGTCTGCCCGTTTGCACTTGAAAGTTTTAAACCGCAAAGATAGCACAAGTGGCTGGTTAACAATTTTTTATATCAGCTTAATTATTTCTGGTATTCATAAATAAAAATGAACGCTGATGAAAAGATAAATGCATTTTTATTTTAGACAATTCCAAACACAGCCGGTGGCCCCCAAGCTGCATATAGTGGGATGTACGTTTTAAAATGCATCTTAATTAACTCGTGATCAAATATTGTTCTCTCAAAACTATGCAATAATGTCCATCCTTTAGCCACCTTATCCAAACAATAGTTAAGGATATATTTCAAGATTTGGAGAAATTAAATTCGGTTGCTTGAAGAAAATCCCTTGTATATGGCAGACAGCGGTTATTACAAAACTCACTGCATTGATGGGCGAATATGCGTATGCAACTAACTCTATTTAATGAATTCACTGGGCACATAATTTGCGATCTTTGAAGCTACTTTTAAAATAAAAGAGAATAGGCTTAATTATCAAAATACAAAACTGAACAGACGTGCGCTCACATTTTATCTGCGAATAATTCTATTCTAAATGATATATGCGAAGAACTGAAATGGAATGAATTCGGGTCATTTTCCCTCACCTTGATAATGTATTAAGAATAACATGAAGTATTAAGAAGTTCCAATATCAGAGATCATGTTAATTGTTAAATAACATTTAAATATATTATGGATTATTTGTTAGATTTTTATGCGATGAGGTATAGCATGCTATACTGCGAATCGCATAGCGAAATACCTTGGGAGTTATTAACTGAAGTAATGTTTTTGAAGTTATTTGTTATTGCAGGAAATATCATTTATATTAAATATTATACAATTTTTGAAGAATTTGAGGTTATCCAAAATATGCAGAATTTATACCATCAAGGATGAAATTATGTATAATAAGTGGTCATCGTTATAGATCTAGCGAAATAAATTAGATCATTAAAACTACATTACGCGCCATATAAAATCAAAAATAATCCGGTAATAAAGAGTTACCTACACGTGATCGGCATACGATGTTCCAGGTTCTCCGTCCGGCCACACTAAATAACAAAGAGTTCGATGTCCTTGGTCAGGATACTTATACGTAATTGTGGTTGCATACAATAAGGGAGGAATAGAGACAATAGTGCTAAGAGACCACACTAAAAAGATGATAGAGCAGGCAAAAGTTTTAGTCATTCTTTGGCGTAATGGACGAGTGACGGCCACAAATCTGTAAGAAAATAAAGATTCATTAGAAATACACCATCTTTAGATAGAATATTCCTTCAAGGTCATAGGCTCTGAAGGAATAGTTAGAAATACACCTAACTATTCTTTCAGAGCCTATGACCCTCTGAACCTCCAACATTCCTGAATTTTAACTTAATACTACATTATCTTAAGATTGTAATGGATTAGGTTAGACAAATATTATCAAACGAATACTGATTATTGCATCACTTATTTCAAAATAAAAGTAGGGATAACACGTTTTTTAATGAAAAGAACGTAACAACATTAACGTACTTGAAGTATATTCCATATCAGATTTTGAGGGAAGAATCAAATCAGAAAATGAGTGAATTCACTGACTATAAATGAGATCAAGACTTATTCTAAAAATCCTAAATATTCTTGCAACAAAAGTGTATCACAGTAAATTAATAAACTTTAAAGTAAATTAAAACTCTACCTGTAAGGAAACGCTAGAAAACCCAAAAATAGCTAAAAACAACCTTAGTAATCTTAAATTGTAATTAGAAACTATTAAGTAATCTTAAGTTGTTGCTCAAGCCCTATCACTGATGCAGTCTTTGATTACATTTTGCTGAGAACTAACTATCTTTCGAAGTCAGGATCAGATCTGAAGAGGTCAAAATTTGAAATCAAAAGCAAAATTTTTGCGTAGTATGGTAAATGTTTACGTGAAACTTGAGAATGTTCTTTCGGCATATTTAATATTTATAAATGACAAAAACAAGTTTTAAGGCCTTGTCCGTTATATGTTTCTGCTCTTCTCTTGTCGAAATCCAAAAAAAGTAATATGCGCTATTTTAAAGATGGTCTTCAAGGATCAATCAATCGAAAACTATGTTAAGAATTAAACGAAACTTATTTTGCCATTTATTCAAATAAATTTAAAATTTCTAACTAAATGTAAGCTTATAAGGTATTTCTTCCCTCTTCTTTGCATGTCTTCGTGGCGTAGTGGTCAGAACACTCGGAGCGTATTCGAGAGGTTCGTGGCTCGAGTCCCGGCAAGGGCATTGCACATTTTTCATGTCTCCTCCTTTAAAAAAACACCTAATTCTCTACAAACTTTCTAACGAAATAAATTTAAACTTTCTAATCATTTTGCTTTTAAAACAGTTATTATCCTAACTCTTAGTTGTATTACCGCTGATACATTCGAGTATCTCTGCTAAAGCCTACACGTACCTACGAAGTTACACGTACCACAGATTGAGAACCAAGGGTAGAGATGATTAGGTTCGAACCTGCAATTACTGCAAATAGTATCCTTTTTAGTGCAAATGTTTATTATAACACAAAATTGAAATGTTAGTTGAGAAGCGTCAACGAACTTCACCAAACGAAGTAAAGTGTTATTAAAATCAAACAGTGACTTATTTACAAACGAAAAAATACTTCTTTGATACAAATTTTTTTAAATATTTAGATAGAATATTAATTTTATATAAAATGGTAAATCTGTACCAAATTTATTGCATTCTCGTTTTTTGTCTAATTTTAGCAGGATTCTGTGTGAAACATTTATTACCCTAAATTACATGCATATGAGCAGAAATACTTATTATAATGTACACAGAACACTTTAGGAAATATTTCGAGTCAGTTAAACTGCTCCCGTTTTAATAAATTATTCCCCGAAAGGCTAATATGAAACCCTAATCTGATATAATTTTCTTTTAAATCGTCTGGAAAATGAACTTCACTATGCCAACTTACTGTATAGCCGTGTAATAGAAATATAATTTATGTATTGAATAAATTGTAATGTAATAATAATAATGCATATATTACGTCTGATTAAGTTTCGCATTTCGCACTGCTGTGTAACATGTTTTTACGCAATATGTAACAAGTACGTTTAGTTTATGTACAGCCATATACTACCAATGTAATGTCAGAAAGCCAAGGTTTATTATTTAATGTTGCATAAAGTATTAATATCAGGCTATGAATATATGCACGTACCGTGTCTGTAATCATATTACTGTGGATAAGTTTAGAGGCCTGTAGAACTATTGGCCGTAGCTATATATATTGTGTAACACATCCCAATAATACGGTTTACATGTAGTATAGCGTGATAAATAACGATGGAATGATTCATATATATGTAAAGTATTGAGCCAATTCTGCAGTATCTGCCAATTATAATTATCCAAGTTCTGTACTCATATAATGCATGAATACCAATTGTATATATAAACTGCAAAGTTTTAAAAATCGATTATTGTACTGACATGGAACAAAAATAAGTATGTTAGAGTTAATTCTGAATAATATCATTTTCATTTCAGATGGAGTGGCATCCAGATGTGCATTCATTCGTCTTACATGAACAGCCATTTTATAGGTAAATGACTTTGAAATGATAGCGAATTCAGATGTGAATAACCTTGAAAAAGACACAGAAAACCTAAAGTCACTGTTATATCTTCACTGCTAATTCGGAATTCTCTCCTACTAAGATAGTTTTTAATCTCTTCACCTGTGTTTACGGGTTAAAGCGGTGACACGTACACATACCTTATGTATACCATTCATCTTTACAATATGATATGTCGTGAAATAAAATGAAGTCTTAATAAGACAAACACGTGACATATAGTGCTTCGGAGGAAAAGACACTATAGAAATAAGTATACATACTGGCTATTTTCTTCGTCATCATCTTCTTTTATCCACTATCTTCCTTGCATTCTTCGTCCCCACTACTTGTCAGAAAAAAGTTGCGTGAAAAACTACACATAACAGTAGAAGCTGTTTTTCTAGCTGAGCTATGTCACAGATATTACGGTAGGGATTCTTATTGACACCACATCTTTAGAAATTTTTTCCTGGAAAAAGAGTCATTTTCATCTGGGAAACCTAAAAAATCCTCTATCCATTATCGTTTTGCAATACAATATCCAATATCGTTTTGCAATTTCCACGATGATGTATTCACATTATTTATGCCAGATATAATTTAACTTTCTTTGACTGTAGTGTTATTTTTACAGTTAACTATTTTCAGTTCGAGCATATTGATCAAAATGGTTAGTTGTTTATTTTTATGCATAAACAATATATATAACTGCCAAAAATGGGATGCAATCATAAGTAACTTTCTATACATTATATATCAGAAAATAAATAAAACTTCATATATCACCTTTGCCAATATTTCAACTCAGGTTACATCCCCAATGTTTAGCGATCTTTGCCAATGAGCTAATTATAAGTCCTTATATAGAAAAAAATACATTTCCCAATTTTATATCTTTTCTAATGCTTAAACAGTGTTATACCAAAGTTAATACTAATAAAAGCATTCTAAAAAATTCAAATCGAAATTCTAATGTTTATTTCAAAATCGTCCCTATCTTAAAAGTGCTCTTTGCCCATCATGATTGTTATTATTGTTGCATGCGTACGAAGGAATAATATATTGAATGCACACATCTCTGATTATAAGTTAATAAAAATTGATTTTCAAAATAAACACTTCGAAGTTCTGTAATTTTCTTCAGAAATACTCGTACGGGAGTTGGCAGTATTACAGAGTGCAATCAGTACTTAACGCATCAAACTACTAAAAACGTTATACACAATGCGATGCAAAATGCATCTAAGGATAAATTCGGATATCTCAATTCACGCGGAATTAATAATTCGCAATAACAGTAACTAAGCAACTGAAAACTTGCTCTCTCTTCGGCCTCAGATAGTTTTCAACCGGCCACGAAGATATTTCTTGTACTTTCTGCTTCTTAAAATTACTGTAAAGCAATACGAGGGTAGAATTCCGGTTACAGCTAACATAGTGGTTAATTAATTCATTGAATTTCAATATTATAGGAACAGGACCCAAATGTCGCCAAATGATGACCAAACTTAGCGACTTTTGGCGAGAAAATAATTCGACAAAACTTTTGTCAGCTTTGAGATATCTAGCCCAGTTATCGAGATACCCATTTACTCTGTTAAATGCACTTGCCTCTCTACTCTACTTTTCTGGCGTAGCTTCTCTTTAGGGTTTTTTCATGTTGCGAAAGAAATATAACAATTTTACTTACAGTTCTATTACAATTTCGGATCTAAGTACAAAATTCGAAACATTTTGATGATTACAGATATCCAGTGTCTTGTTTATTAAAACTCCAAAAGGTAGAAATTAATGGGAAAAAAGAAAGTAATCTATAAAATGTGTAAAGAATAAGTAAAAAAGATTATCTGAATAATTGAAAATTAAGAATAATAAAGGCAAATTAAAGACGAAGGAACAGTGAATTATTATTCAAAATTATATTTTCAGAAAATTATTTTTTTAAATCTTTTCATAGAATATATATTGTTGCGTTCTTCTTTTATTCTGACATCCGTTGTTACGTTATTTCCTTAATTCACGTTCGTACGGGGTTCGCGTGAATTTGGAGTGAATAATGACGACACTTGATGAAGTATCGAAACACACTTTATTTAGCCAATATTAATCAAGATAGCTCCAAATTCACTTTTTACTATGTGCACTTTTACTATTATTACTTTTACTATTACATTATTTACTTTTTACTATTACTGTCGTCGAAGATCTACTATAAACACGCTGACACGATCAGCGACACAGCTTTCAGGTTATCAGGCTATCACGGTGGAGACAGCTTCACTGCAAAGCACCAGACTACAGTTCCCCACTCTGCTTGGTTGTTCTCGGAACTCCACGTACTCTTGAGACTCTGCACGCTACAAATTGCGATACACTCGACGACACACAGAGCACAGCTCCTGACTCTTCGATTCAGTCGTTCCCGGAGTTTAACATACTCTCTCGACGATGCAATGACCGGGATACACTTAGAGACTCTTCGATCCACTCGACGACCCACTCGGCACTCGCTGCCCGGCTGTCCACTCGATCGACTCCGCACAGACTAACTCGAGACACACATACTAACTGATTGCGGACCAGCAGGGTTTATATAACTTTCGGCTTGTGTT